TAATTATGAAAAACAATTCTTTAGATTTCAGAGAAACTTTCGTCTTTCGAAAGAAGCTGTTACATATGTTCTAACAGAAGAAGAGAACGAGGTGCGCCCACGTAAAAAACGCCATCCATACCGAATATATTAAAGGTTTTCACAACTCTGAGGTTTCTTGCTCAGGGTCCATACTAACAGAGTGTTGCAACGAGGCGTTATTGAATTACCCCTACCTAAGGTTTTTACTGTGTTTATAAAAATGTGCATCCTTCAAACGGAATTTATCAATAAACAAGTGCTTGGAAATTTGAAATCTTTGTTTTGAATTAAAGCTCAATCCTTTGACTACACGTGTATGTTAAAGTTTTTAACTTCGACTCACGCGTTTGGACACAACAACCCAAAATAATGGTACAAATAACTAAACCGTACCCCTTGGAGAAGCAGCACGCTCAACTTTGTTTGTTTCTCGCAGTTTTTGCCCTGAAAATTGCAGTATTTTGTTCAAATCGTTTCCATAATTTCATGTTATTCATTTTAATACTTACATCACTTTACTTTTGTTAAATTGAATCGTATCGTGTAAAAATGGACAACCGCTTGCAAGCGTATGAAATTGAACAGCTGATACGATAGCTATCGTATGGTAATACCAAAATTTAACGATACACGATAAATGGTAGTTATCGAATTTCATACGCTAGAATTTAATTCGTAATACGGATACAACAGAATGCAAGCGTTCATCGTGTATCGTATGGATTCATTATAGGGTGGAAAATCCGCTTTTATTATTCAAAATCCCAGTCTGGCAACACCAAATTTGATATTATTTTGCTATCTTATTCATCGTTTATACGAAAACTTTAACAACAAATTATATAAAAACTGTATGAGATTTGGTAACTCTGCTTATCTATCGACTAACACGATATGCATCAATTTATCGAAATATCTAGTTATAAGTTTGATCTCTAAGAAGGTTTTTATCTTCGATTTTTTCTTTTTCGTGTAACGAATGACTTTTTCATCAATCGAATAAAATACACCGCATTGTTCAAATAAACTAAGCAAAAAACTCGAGTCTAATATTCTTTTCGGATTTCCGAGTGTATGAGATACAGGCGATTAGGATTTCATACATTTTTTGGTGCCGAAACCCGGGACTTTCGCTGTACGTCGAGGCTTGTTAGCGTCGGTTGCCTTAAGTGCCGTTGGCAGTGGATACGAACCGTTATAATCTACATAAAATGGCTTCCTTAAACAAACGAGCTGCTGCTGTAACAGCTATTAATCGAGTCACTACTAGAATCCTCGCAGATGGTTACAGTGGCGATGGCTTTGCTATTGCTCAAGATCAGGCAACGGTGCAGTCCCTTTTCGATAGATTTGCTGTGGCTCATGATGGGCTAATTATTGATGCAAAGAAGGAGGAGCTCGATGCTCATTTAGATTTATGGGATCAAATGGAAGACCTATACAACAAGGCTATGGCTAAAGTTCACCGCTTGCAGGCAACCATCAGCTCCACAATTCGCAATCCCCCATCGAATGCTGATGACAATGACTCGATAGGATTACCTAACCCAATGGCAATGAATTTGAAGGTGGAGCGATTATCTGTTCCAAAATTTGATGGCAGACTGCGCAACTGGCTCGCATTTAAGGATGCCTTCGACACATTGGTCCATTCACAAGAATTTCCGGAGGCATATAAACTTGGCAAATTGAGGGAAGCTGTTCAAGGTGATGCCGTGGCTTTAGTAGGTGGTATGTACAGTGGTGGCTACGAGGAAGTTTGGAAAGCTCTCAAGGACCGTTATGACAGTCCGAGACAATTGGCTGATATTCATGTTGCACAATTTATCGGGTTGGACCCAATAACCGCTGAGTCTACATCCGCATTGCTATCGGTGGTCGATACAGTGCGCGAGTCGTTGCGTGCACTGGCTGTCATGAAGATACCAGTGGACCAGTGGTATGCGTTGGCTGTTCCCATCGTAGTGTCAAAGTTACCAGCTCGTACGCAACAGGCATGGGGCATGAGCCGCACTACACAGGATATACCTCGCTTGGATGACTTACTTGCATTTGTGGAGAAAAGGGCACATAGCTTGACAGCTGATGTATTGCGATGGCCCATGAAATCTTCAAACCTTGGCAATAGAGGCTCTCCCTCTATTCAACGAACTTCTACGCCTGGCGGGCATACAACCCATGCATCTCGTTTGGTGAAAACGAATTTGGCTGCAACCACACCTGGGAACTGCGAATATTGCAATACATATTCTCACCGGATTGGGCGTTGTCCACAACTCTTGGCTTTACCTGTTCAGGACCAGGGATGCCGTTTGGATCTAAATAGATCCAATTGGATACATTTTTAGACGAATTTTTGCGGGATACTTATTTTTTCCGGTCAGTATAAAAGTGGATACTTTTTTAAATAGGCCAAAATTTTATATTTCCTATAAAGTTTTTTTCGTTCAAAAATCGATTTTTATTAAAGATGGTAGAAAGCATTACGTTTTCTAAACGTATAAAGAATCGCTACTTAAGCGTGAAATTAAAGCATTTTATTTTTTGTGAACGAAGCAATGAACATATGAAGAGATCTCACCAAAATAGGTATAAGCACAATTGCTTTAATTAGCTTAAAAGGATGCTTTAAGCAAGATCTTAATATACATACATATCGTCGTTTAAAGTACAAAACCGCAACAAAATGCAAAACCGCGTATCAAGATAATGCAAAACTGCGTATGTGACGTTGCATAAATTATTTTCTAGAGAGTAAAAACACTTATATTTCAAAATGGTCCCCTTTTTTATAAAGCAATCGCATTTCTGGCTAGTATATTTCAGGACGAAGCCAAGAGCTTGTGTGAGCAAATCCAATTTTTGGCAGCAAATGTCAGTTACGCGGTTTTGCAGAATGTCGATACGCGGTTTTGTACTTTAAACGACGATATATGTAAAGTAAATCATTCTCTTTCTGTAGTAATCTCTTTCATATCACATATTTTCATTTGTTAATTTAAAAAGAAATAAGATTTCAATGTAGTTTAAAAAACTAAATTTGATTTATTTAAGGAAACTTTTATGAATTTTACTGAAAAGGCTTTAAATACACTCTAAAAAATTTTGTTTATTTGCGCATATTGAGAGAGGTAACCGGTTTCCTCTTTTAATGTATGCAAATGTGCAAGCCGTGTAATAAAATTAATCATTGCCTGTTTATTTTTACACAAAATGTTTAAAATAAAGTAATGTTTATTATTAGTAGGAAATATATTTGTAGTTTGAAAATTTTTGCAATTTTAAACATTCTACATATGTGTATTTATGTGTGTGTATTAAAGATCTCAAGTTCAAAATCAAATACTGAACATCCTATACGTATATTTATACAGATTCTTGTTGAAAAATAGATACTTTTCAGTTGTAGTTTTACATGCTCTTTTTAGAGTGTACTTGCTATTTATTATATTTACTCTGCAAAATACTTATGCACAAAAAATGTACTTTATAAATTGAAATTACAAATGTTTGATTTTATGCACATGTATTCCAAGTCCTTAGCATGGGTTAAATTATGTCTTTTTCATGAAAATGTTTGGTTTTCTTACAATTTATGAGATGTATATGTAAAAAAAGAAAATTGGATACATTTGGATACATTTTTGGTTTGGTCAGGGATACATTTTCTTGAGACGGCGCGGCAACACTGATTCCACAAATTGAAGGGATCTAGTTTGTGCTTCAATTGTTTGAAACCTGGCCATTCAACCAAGGCTTGCACCTCTACCAGCTGTCGAACGTGCAATGGGCGGCATCACACCATATTGTGTCGTAATCAGTTGGTGGCTCCCTCGACTAATCTACCTGAGGCATCTCGGAACGAACCAATGGCTAATTCTACATCGGGCATGGCAACCAGTGGCAATGCAGGGAGACCTCCTCAAGTTCATCAATGACTAGATGATTCTGTAAAAACATTCACCCTAATTAGCAATCGATTGATAGTCTTGGCAACTGCGCAAGTACACATCATAGATGGTTTTGGCAATATCCGTTCGTGTCGATTACTATGCGACCCTGGATCTCAGGTCAGTTTTATTACTTCACGTCTTTTTAATAGTTTGGATATCCCTGGACAGAAATGCGGTCTAAGAGTGGAAGGCATAGGTGGTAAAATGTATTCACACATTCGAGGCCGGGCAGTCGTTCACATCGTCTCCCGAGTTAATCCATCGTTCAAGCTTCAGGTTTATTTCCACATCATTAATTCTATTACGACACCTACTCCAGTGGCACCAATTGCTGATCATTGTTGGCAACATTTACGCAACCTGTCTTTGGCTGACCCGGTATTTGGCTCTACTGGTCGCATCGATGCTCTACTGGGGTCAGATGTTTGGGGTCAAATGATAGTTGATGGCATACTTCGTGGCGGTATTAATGACCCAGTAGCACAGCAAACTCAGTTGGGCTGGGTTGTCTTTGGTCCGGCCGAGGCGGTCGTCGCTGGCAACAACCCACTACAGGCTATGTCAGCTCGAGTTGCTGAGGCTGATTTGCGCATCGATGAACTATTGCGCGAGTTAAATTCATACTCTCGATGTACATAAATAAATATAATTTTATTGGTACCAAGATGTACTTAAATCAATTCTAACCTGAAGTTCATATGCTTCAGTATAATAGAAGACTAACTTATTTCTATGCTTAATCCTCTATTTATAGGCTCTGGTTTCTTTTGTTTATTGGTTGCTGATAATCTTCAATAGGAATGTTTTGGTTGCTGATAATGTTCAATCTTTTATTTGCTGACAATGTTTTGGTTGCTGATAATCTTCAATAGGAATGTTTTGGCTGCTGATAATGTTCAATAGGAATCTTTTATGTAAACTACTGATTCTGTATCATACATTGGATGATGTCATCGGTACAGTAGTGTATTTTCTGTTACACTAACTTGCGTACCTGGCCGGGCATACAAATTTACGAAACAGACTTCTCCAATTTCTCCAGCTCCTTAACCCGCGCTTTCAAGTTTGCTACTTCTATTTCGAGCAATTCAACTTGGCAATATTTTGTTCTAAAAGTTAGTATATCTTAATTTTGCAGTTATATTTATATTTACTCTGTTTGCGATGCAATATCGATAAAATTGGAAGAAGTTTCTTCCCAATCGCAAAATCTCTCAATCGCTACCGGTAAGGCATTGTCTAATAACCTCACCCTTTTACGATCGGAACCTATTAAATTAAAAAAATTGAATCACTTATTGATAATTAACCATTTAAACAAAAGAATTTAATTACTTATTAATTATTATTAATTAAATATTTAATCAAAGTAAATGTATTTAATTAATAGAAATTAACTGTCAAATCGATTACATAATATTTTTCATTTCATTATTAATTTTTATATCTCACTAACTTTAACTAGCTGAAGCCCTTAAATTATATGTACACATATACATTTCATACAGAGGTCGAAAATATCCCTCTCCACTTTAAAAGTGTCCCAAAATAACCGTCAATATTTAAGAGAAAAAATAACCCACAAACCAGAACAGGAGGTTTATTTTTTGTAGATGTGTGCTCCTTTCAGTTGGAAAGGGTTATTTGCATATCTTTACCCACGAACGCCCTTATATTAGTAAATTTTTTAAATTTACCTCGATCTTAATTTTTGCATTTATCTTTACGTATCTTTGCCTTAGCCTTTATCCTTTTCCTTATCAATAAAATAAAGTAAAAATATACACATATACAGTGCCGAACAGAAGTATTCTTCTTCTTCTTAATTGGCGCTGTAACCGCCTAAGCGATTTTG